CTTGTAAATAGCAGAAATGTATTGCTTACAGTTCTGGAGGCTGAACTCTGAGAGCAGGGTGCTATCAGGGTCAGAAGAGAGCCCTCTTCCAGGTTGCAGACCTCTGGTTGTATTCTCACTTGGCAGAAGGGGTGAGGCAATCTCTCCGGAGGTTCTTTTATAGGGTACTAATGCCACCACGAAGGCTCCACCCTCGTGATCTGAGCATCTCCCACAGGCCCCACCTTCTACTACCATTAGGGCATTTGGTTTCAACATTTGAACTTGATGGGTGGGGGCCACACACATACAGATCGCTGTACCGGTTAAGCATGGATTGCTAAATATGATGGTTTTCTTTAGTCTGTTCTGGGACCTTGTATAAATGAAGTTCTTCAGTATTATATTTTGTGTCTAGATTCTCTGCTCAAGATTAAGAGGCTAATGTGAATCATTGCTGCATAGCATTCCCCCGATAAATTTTCTGCCAGTCATTGAACTGTTCCACTGTTGACGAACAGTTGAGTGCTTTCCCACTTTGGCTAGTATGGCTAGTGGTGCTGCTAACAATTACGTGTCTGTCTTGTGCACGTGCATGTGCATGTCAGTGAAATTGCTAGATAATAGGGTATCTGTACTGGGTTAAGAGTGTCCCCTCAAAAATCCATGTCCACCTGGAACCATCAGAATGTGACTATAGCCCTGGTTGGTGTGGCTGAGTGGATTGAGCACTGGCCTGCAAACCAAAGGGTTACCGGTTTGATTCCCAGTCAGGGCACATGCCTGGGTTGCAGGCCAGGTCCCCAGCCAGGGCCAAGTGAGAGGCAACCATGCGTTGATGTTTTTCTCCCTCTCTTTCTCCCTCCCTTCCCCCTCTCTAAAAATAAACAAATAAAATCTTTAAAAAAATGAATGACTTTATTTTGAAATGGAGTCTTTGCAAATATAATTAATTAAGATGAGGTCATACTGGATTAGTTAGAGTGAGCCCTAATCCAATGACTGGTGTCTTTATAAGAAGAGAAAAAGAGTCAGACACAGAGCGGGAGAAGCCATATGAAGTTGCAGGAAGAGATTGGAGTGACGTGCCTACAAGCTAAGGAACACCGAGGATTGCTGACCACCACCTAGGAGAGGGGCATGGGACACATTTGCCCTGAGAGCCCTCAGAAGGAACCAGCCCTGCCCACACCTTGATCTTGGACTTCTGGCCTCCAGAACTGGAAAAGAATAAATCTCTGTTGTTGTTGTTTTTTTAAAGATTTCATTTATTTTTAAAGAAAGGGGAAGGAAGGGAAAAGAAGAAGGAGAGCAACATCAATATGTGGTTGCCTCTTGAGCACCCCCAACTGGGAATCTGGCTCGAAACCCAGGCATGTACCCTGACTGGGAATTGAAATGGTGACCCTTTGGTTTGCAGGCCGGCACTCTGAGCCACACCAGCCAGGGCCAAATCTCTGTTGTTTTAAACTCCCCAGTGTATGGTGCTTTATTACTGTAGCTACAGGAAATGCACCACATATGTTTAGCTCTGCCATTTCTGTTTCCTCTTCTGTGAAATGCCTACTCGCACCAATCTTCCCATTTTTTATTGGATTATCTTTTTCTTATTGAGTTGTAGGAGTGCTTTATATGTTCTGGGTATGAACTCTGCACTGGTTATATATATTATAAATCTCTTGCACTCTGTGGCTTTCCCTTTCACTTTCTTAATGATGTCTTCTTTTGTTTTTTAAAGATTTTATTCATTTATTTTTAGAGAGAGTGGAGGAGAGGAAGAAAGAGAGGGAGAGATACATCATTGTGAGAGAGAAACATCAACTGGTTGTCTCCCATACGCTCCCCTATCTGGAACCAAACATGCAACCCAGGCATGTGCCCTGACCAGCGGGTCAGGGAAATTATGTCTTCTGATGAGCAGAACCTATTAATTTTAATGTAGTCAAATTTACCATTTTTTTCTTTATGGTTAATATTTTTTGTCCTGTTCAGAAAACCTTTTCTTGCCTCCAAGATTATGAGAATATTCATCTATATTATCTCCCAAATGTCATCTTTTCAGACTTTTATGTATGATGTAAGGTAGCAGTCAGGTTACTTCTCTTGCACAGAGATCTGCAGTTGTCTCAGTGCCGCTTATTGAGATGAACACCCTTTACCCACTGTCTGGAAATGCTGCTTTTTTTGTATAACAAGTATCCATAGCTGTGGGTCACTTTTTGGACTCTCTATTCTATTCTGCTGGTCAATTTATCCATCTAATACCATACCATCTTAACTACTATAGCTTCATAATAAACCTTAATACTCAGTAAGTCAGATCCTCCCACCATGTTCTTTTTCAAGAGGCTCTTTGTGTGCTGATTGCAGCAGGGGAAGAGGGAGGAGGCTATGGGGGGATAAATGGTAATGGGAAAAATACAATAAAAATTTTTTTTAAAAGAGACTCTTCGTGGGCTATGATGTTTTCATATAACTTTCAGAATCAGCCTGTTAGATTGATCAGATTATTTGTTTTGAAGTGGAGATTTTTCTTAATTTTTTTAGAGATTTTACTTATTTTTAGAGAGGGAGAGAAACATCAATGTGTGGCTGCCTCTCGAGCACCCTCCACTGAAGATCCAGCCTGCAACCCAGGCATGTGCCTTGACTGGGAAGAAAAAAACAGCAACCAACTAGGGCTGATTATTTTTAAGAGCCTGATTGAATTATTTGAAATTGTGGTAAAGTATATACAACATAAAATTTATCATTATAGTCTCTTTTTAAAAGATTTTATTTATTTATTTTTAGAGAGGGGAAGGGAGAAAGGGAAAGAAACACCAGTGCAAGAGAGACACATCGATTGGCTGCCTCCTGCACGCATCCCGACTAGGGACCAAACCGTCAACCCGGGCATATGCCCCAACCAGGAACTGAAGCGGTGACCCCTCATCTCACAGGACAACACCCAACCACCTGAGCTACACCAGTTAGAATCATTTTAGTTATCTTTAACTATTTATTTATTTATTTATTTTAGAGAGAGAGGAAGAGAAAGAGAAACATCAATTTGTTCCAACTATTTATACATTTATTGGTTGTCTCTTATATGTACCCTGACTGGAGATCAAACCCACGACCTTGGTGTATCGGGGTGATGTTCTAACCGAGCTACCTGGCCAGGGCCAAAGCATTTTAGTCATTTTTTGCTATAAAAATTTATATTGTAATATGGTATTCATAATATAAAATTTACCATTTCATCCTTTAAAAATTTTTATTTTAGAGAGGAAGGAAAAAAACCATCGATTTGTTGTTGCTGTTATTTATGCATTCATTGTTTGATTTTTGTATGTGCCCTGACCCAGGATGGAACCTGCAACCTTGACATATGGGGACCACGCTCCAACCAACTGAGATACCCAGCCAGGGCCCCATTGTATCCTTTTTTCAGTGCACAGTTCACTGACATTAAGCACATTCACTCTGTTGTGCGACTCCATCCATCTCTAGAACATTGTCATCATCCCAGACTACAACTCTGTCCCCAGTAAACACTACCTCACATTCCTCCCCTTCCCTCAGGCCCCAGCAACCACTGTCCTACTTTCTGTTTCTATCAATCTGACTGCTCTAGGGACCTCATACAAGTGGAATCATTCAGTATATGACTTTTTGTGTCTGGCTTACTTTGCTTAGCATAATACATTCAAAGTTCGTCCATGTTGTAGCACGTGTGAGAATTTCTTTCCTGTTTATGGCTGAATAATATTCCATTTGTAAGACACATTTTGTTTATCTGTCAATGGACACACGAGTTGTTTCTGCCTTTTGGCTACTGCGAATAATGCTGCTGTAAACACCAGTGTACAAATATCTGTTTGAACCTTGATTAGCTTTTGATAAAAATTACATTCAATCTATGTATCAGTTCTGGCGAACTGACACCTTTACTATATCAGTTCTTCCTGTTCATGACTGTGGGATCTCTCTCCATTCACTTAGTTATCCTCTAATGTCTTTCTTGGAGTTCTGGTTGTTTTTTTGTATTTAAATTTGTTGTTACCCTTCTTCTGGTTATGCGAGGAGGCAGAGTGTGTGTACCAACACCTCCATCTTGGCCGAAGGTGTATTATGGTATTTTTCATAGTCTGCCTGACACTGTCAGAAGTCCTCAAGGGTTTCAACCTGTTTTTGTTTAAATGTTTTTTAGATTTTATTTATTTATTTTGAGAGAGGGAAATGGAGGGCAAAAGAGAGGGAGAGAAACACCAATCAGTTGCCTTCTCAACTGGGAACCTGGCCCAAAACCCAGGCATGTGCCCTGACTAGGAATCGAACCAGTGACCTTTTCCGTTTGCAGGCCAGCACTCAATTCACTGAGCCATACCAGCCAGGGCCAGCCTGTTCTTATAAGTATGGGCCTTCATTTCCTTACATTTATTGATCTTTGTGAGATCTTTTTGGTTAATCTTCACCTTGGGTGAACTAGAGCCCTAAACTGAGGTTGCTTTCTTCTAGAGAGGATTTACTTTCTGTTTGTGCCAGGAGTGCCACCACCCTGGGTCCCAAGCTCAATCTAGGTGTTCCCCTTCCCACTTCTCACCATAGCACATGTTGCCCATGGAGGCTCGCTGGGCCCTTCAGAGACCTCCTCCCTCTTGGAAAGCAGTAGGGGAGGGAAGATTGAACTGCTACCTTTTTTAAATTGTATTTTTTCCATTACCACTTATCCCCCTTATATGCCCCTCTCCCTCCACCCCCTGAACTGCTCCTTGCTTCTCCCTACTTTGCTAGTTTTAGATTTTGAGGCAATCCCTTTAGCCTTGCTTTTCCTCCTTTGCAAAATGAGATTAATTCCTACTTTCACTAGGTTGCTATGGGGATCACAATGACTGACGTCAATGACTGGTGCATGCCGAGAGCTCAGCTCAACGCCCACCTGTTCACATGCTCTGGATGTGCCCAGGGCTCTAAGGGTCCAGCCTCCCTGTCCAGTGGGTTACCTCCCATCCCCACTGCTACAGAGAGGCCAGAGGTAAAACAGCACAACACAGATGCTTTATTGTTTACAAAACATGGAAACCCAACTCCAGGAGTGATGCCGGGGACACAGAAATGACGGAGAATCAGTGGGCCCCAGCATGGGAGAAGTGGCCAGGTCTCAGGCCCTTATGGCTGCAGGCTCCACTCTGGCAAAGGGCTGAATTTTGCCTGCAGCCCAGGGCTGGGCCCTGCCCGAGGCTCCCAGGCCTCTGGGAGGGTCAGGCAGAAGGAAGCGGTGGCTAAAGGCCATCCCTGATGAGGTGGTGAGCAGCTCCAGGCCAACAGCCTTGTGGGTCCTCCCCCAAGCTCCAGCCTAGTCATCCACCTCACTTCAACTACCCTCCCTCCAGAGGCCAGCGCTGGGAGAGAACACAGGAAGGCAAGAAGGAAGGAGGCCACTACCTAAACTTCTTCCTCTCTTTCTGGCCAAGAGGAAGGAGCAGCTGTGACCCTTCCTTCAACTGAAGAACCACAGAGGAGCTGGAATGCTCACCAACTAGGAGAGGGCACTGTTTAAGGGTTACGAAGAAATCTGTCTAAAAAACCCTATCTGAACTCACAGCATCAGTCCATTTCCCAGCCCTAGCTGTGTGCAGGGGCAAGAACCGAAAGGTAGTACTGGGAGCCTGGCAGCTGGGGACTGGGTCCCAGAGCTGCCTCTTCTGCAGGCCTCAGGGGCGCGTGTCATAGGACCATGAGGCAGCCAGGGCAGGGTCTGGGCAGGGCAGTGCCTATCTCCCAGGCTGCAGGTGGTTGTGGAGCTGCTCTGCCTGGGTCTTCAGGCACTGGAATTCCTCCTGAATGAAGTCAGTCAGGGCCTTGCGCATCTCCACCTGAAGGGAAGGACTGGGGCTGACCAGCAGCCCTCAAGGAGCTTTGCCCAGGGGCCCTGGGAGGCCAAGGGTGCTGGGAGGGGCCAAGGATAGCAAGGGGACATCCTGGGAAAACTCACAGTGGACTTATTCTCTGCCCGGAGCCGCTCGAGCACGGGCAGGACACTGAAGGGCTTTCCTATCAGCACGGTGATTTTCTGCAGAGGAAACCGGCCACCAGATGACAACAGGGAGAAGGCCCCCAGCCCCAGCCCAACCGCCCCAGGGAGCCAGAAACAGAGTCCTGCCCCTAACTTGCTAGGCGCTCCCCCACCCCCCGGCCACTCTCCCTCTTTAGGACAAGGTTCAATGGCATCCAAGGGTCATCCCAGTCCTAGGGTCCATGCCTAGATGTCCTGTCCTGTCCTAACCCTAGGGACCACCCCTGCCAAGGCCTGATTTCCTTTGCTCTCCTTGTACAGGGCTTGGTGCCGGAAGGCCCTCTCAATGTTCCACTTGGTCCCTCTGCCGCAGCCCCAAGCTCAGCTCCTCCTGAATTTGGCCTCAGTAATGCTGAGTGGGAGACAAAGGGCAGATGGCAGGCAGGCAGACAGACAGACAGACGAAGGTCAGCAGCCTCTGCCTACCTGTCCAAAGCGTGGGAAGTATGGTGGGTTGTTAGGAAGGACGTCGTTCATTCCTGCAGCAAACAGAAGGCTGGGAAGCAGGCACGGGGTGGAGCAGGACAGCCCCGGACCCCACCCCTGGTACCCTCTCCCTGCTGCCCAGTGGAAGCCACCCCGAACACCAGCTAGGGAAGCCCCTCTCCCTGCCTCCATCCCCAGACTGCAGGCTCGCCCCGAGAGGGCGGCTTACCGACATGCCACAGCGGCAGGATGACCGGGTTGAGATGACACTCGGCAATCAGGCGCCCGATTCCTGCCCCACAGAGGCAGAAACATTGGTGCAAGCAGAGCTTCAGTGCTAGCCTCCAGCGGAGGCCATCGGCCCTCCCCTAGTTAAAACTAGCTCCCCTGGGCCAGCCCTTGTCTTGGCATTTGTCCCCTTGCTGCTGCTACCATGTACCATGGTCCAGCCGAGCCAAAGAGGGCCAGCCCTTACCCCACTTGAAGCGCAGGAACTCGGAGCTCATGTTCACTTTTCCTGGGTGGGGGGAGACAGATGTGAGGTTTTGAGGGGGGTGCTTGGGAGTCTCATCCATATTCTTGGGGACATGTGACCCTACCAGCCTCACTGACCTTCTGGGAAGATGTGCACCCAGTCCCCGTGGTTGAGCTTCTCCAAAATAAAGTCCATTCCCTTCTGGTAAACACCATCTCCTGCCAAGAAAAGGCATCTCCCCATCAGTCCTCACTCTCCCGGGGTCCCCTCTGTCCCTCTCCCTCAGGATAAAGCAGCAGCTCAGAAACCGCCTCTTTGCCTTCCCCACTGCACCATCCACACAGACAACCTTCAACGACTGTCTCTTCCGAGCCAGCTCAGCCCCAGCTGCACTTCATGGCTCTCGGCATCCTTTGTTCAATACTATCCTCCAACCCTCCAAGTGCCTGTCACTTGCAAGGCAGCAGCATCATCTCAAACTGACTGAAAGTCTGAACTTGACAATTCCTCCACTGGCCACCAAAGTCACCTTTTTAAAAATCTTTTTTATTGATTGATTTTAGAGAGGGGGGTAGGGAGGGAGAGAGATTTGTTGTTCCACTTATTTATGCATTCATTGGTTGCTTCTTGTATGTGCCCTGACCAGGGATTGAATCTGCAACCTTGGCAAATCGGGATGATGCTCTAACCAACTGTGCTACCCAGCCAGGGCCCAGCCCCATCTTTTGCCTACTTGTCCTGCCACAGCCTCACTGACTGAGCCATTCGGCCACAGGCATACACCTGCAGTACAGCCCCTGGCAACCCCCATCCATGCACTAGCCTATCTTCCCTCCCTCCCTCTCTCCCCAGCCAGGCTCTCAGAGCCTCCTTTCTCCTTGGAAGGAGCCACCCTGGAGTGAGCCTCCGTCTGCTGCCCCTGGCCCAGAGGTGGCTGCTGGAGCAAACCAAATCTGCTTATGACTTCCAGCCTCACTTGGGCCACAGATTCTGGATTGCAACCCTTTCTTGGCGGCTCAGCCAGGCCATTCCTGCAGCCACTCCTCACAGGCCTCCCAGCCCTGCCTGCACCCTCAGACTCCTCCACCCCTCCCTCCTGCCAGCCCCTTACTCACAGGGCTCCCCCTGAAAACTAGACTCTCCATTTGATGGAACATATGGTGTTTCAAGTTGGGAAAAACTAACTGGCTAGACTGAAAAAAATGGAGTTGAGCTGCCCCCAGTGCTAGCAACACATGCCTTGGAGATGCCCCGAGACCATGACACTGAACCCAAGTGGCCCAGAGGTCAGCAAGAACAGACATGGATGTCTAATGCTGCACACTGGCTTTCAACTTGGAGCCATGTGGAGATAATTCATGACCACACAGTGTCATCAACCCTGTCCATCCAGTGGACAGGGACAGAGAAGGGGAAGGTTGAAGGAGCAGGGTAGAGTAAGAGGAAACATCTTAGCAAGTGGGAAGATGAGAGCCACATCACAGAGGGAGAGACCCACACTGGGACTGTCTCGGCCGATGCACCAAGAAATGGACTTTTAATCTGTTCTCTGCAAGGCTAGGTCTTTGGAAGGTGCTACTTAAGGCTCCAGGAGTCTCAATCTAACCCAAATGGGGGCCTGGCCCAGCAGCTTCCTCAGGGGCTGCAGCTGGGGAGCACGGTGAGGGTGGTGGCTTCCCTTCTTGATACCGCATTACCTGGCAGAGGTGGGCTTCAGAGCTATTGGCTCCTTCTCTACTAAAGCCCACTGGTGCAGCCAAGCCATCCAGCTTGAAATTGGAGTTTTAAAACAACGCTACGCTTTGGGAGCAACACTTCCTAATGTTTAACTTTTGCAAACTTTCTACGCACTGGTAGAGCTTATGCAAGATCACTCCGATACTTCACGTCAGGTCACAAGGCCTATGCTTTGGGAGGGAGGGAGTATTTTGGAACACAGAAGCAAAGTATGCCAGATACTTCCTTTGCTTCAACGTGTTAGATCTTCGCTGTCCCTCAAATTCACTTCTCTCACTGAAGGTGTTTAGGGTTAAGATTTTGCTTTCTGTTTTTAATTGTGCGATAAACCTTAGATGCAGGTCAAAAAGAAAAATGACACAAGAAGTGGACATGGGACACCCATCTGGGGTTGCAGAAGGGAAGAACTGAGACTCAGGGACAGGGATATGTGAGCAGAATCCCCATCTCTCAGAACAGGGCATGACAACTCCACAGTCACCAGTCATGGCACTGCAGTCTCTGTTTGTGCTTTAAAGAAATGAAGCAGCCTCCAAAATCAGCAGCAACAACGAAAAGCATTCCAGGCTGCTGTCTCTGGGGAGTAGCCTGAGGATTTGGAGGCATGAGTACTGTAGCTTTTCATTTATTTGAGATGACTTTATTAGATTTTACCATGTTTTACCTTGACCAACTAGAGAAAAAAAACAACAAAAAACCCTTGACACCTCTCACACCCTTTGGTTACTTCGTCCTCTCCCTTCCGCACAACCAGCCTCTGGGAGCAGGGGTCGTCCCTGCTGTCTCCCTCCCCTCCCTCTCTCCAGCCCCCACAAGGTCCTGGGGCTTTGCTTCCTTTCTCTCTGGCCATTGCTTCCTGCTTCCTCGGTGACTTGTCTGTCCTTCTGTGCTCTGAGGTGCCATCCCAGGTCCCTGCAGGTGCCGTCCAGAGGTCCCTGGGTCCTCTGCAATCTCACCTCTACGTTTGTGACTTCGTTTGTGGTCGAGTCCCCAGTATCTTTATTCCCAACCATTCTTTGTTTTTTCCAACCATTCTTGTGAGATCCAGAACTGCATACCCCACTGCCTCTGGAACTGTTGCCCTCCTCGGATGACAGGCTCTTCAGATGAATCACACGCAAAACAGGACCTGCCTCCTCTCCTAACCCCCACACCCCATCCTCCAAGTGGCTTAGTATCACCAGATGTCTCCTAGCATCATCTTTGAGTTCTCTTTCCTTCACAACCTCCCACACCCAATCCGTCAATGATGGAATTTTCAATTCTGTCAACTCTGCCTCCAGAGTGCATCCCCAAGCAGTCCCCTTCTCAGGCTCTCCACAGCGACTCTCAGAGGCCCGGCTACAATCGTCTGCTGCCAGAATTGCTGCGACAGCCCCTAACCAGGCTCCACCCAGCCCTGTTCCCATCCACCACCCACACTATGACCAGGGTGCTCTCTCTCTGAACCAGAGATGAGAGCACATCACTACCTTGATGAGAGAACAGATTCCACAATTCTTAACATGATTATTCCAGCACCTTCGGCCTGCAAACTGCATTTGCTACCTTCATCAATTACCTCTCCAGTGCCTGGCAAATGCTTTCCTGTGTCTAGAATGCTTTTCCTTTCATACTCTGCCAGGAAAAATGCTGCTTCCCCAGAGGAAAAAGCAACTTGGACTTGAATCCTGGCTTTGCTACCTCTCTCCCAGTGACCTTGGGCCAGCAGCTTAACCCCTCCAAATCCCTTTAGATGGAGAATGGGAACCAAAAATGGCCCCTAGCTCCTGAGGCTCTTGAGAGATGCTGAGTAGTCATTCAATGTTGCACACCTCAGTCCATAGGCATGTTTGTTCTACCAAGTCCTGCAGCCTGTGGCACATGCCACCTCCATCACAGACACATGGCACCACACTGCCACCAGTGAGTCTCTTAGCAATGTCCTCAAGAGAAGGGGTTGTGGATAACACCTCCTTCACTTCTAATGCCAGAGCTCCAGATTTGTACAATACTCAGGCAGTTGCAGGGAATTGAGCACTCTCCAAGAAACCATCGCTCCTCTGGCAATGGAGCTATGCCTCGCGCTAGTGCGGCAGCACTTTCTGGCTCCCCTTGCTCCCAGGCTGCCTGTCCCACCTGGGTCTCTCCATTCCCAGTGCTGCCAAACCAGAAGCATCAACCACCAGGGGAGGCCAGAGAAGCCTCTAGACGTGCCTTTCTGCACCCACCGGCCCAACAGCCCCTCCCAGAGAAGCAGCTCACCTCGGCATACCGGCACACACTTGCCCAAGCTGAAAAAGTGAGAGTGCAGCTCCTTGGTGAAACAGATGTCTGCAGCTGCGGGGGTCCTAGAGTGGGGACAAATGCAGTCATCCCTGCCTCCCCCTGCTCCCTGCTTCCCAACCTGTCCCCCCCAACATGATGCCTGACATCCTCAGCAATGTGGGATGGAGGCTCAAAAGGGCCTGCAGGGCCCCACCCCCTTCCCTGCCTGGACTGCTGGATGCCGCCTCCTGGGCAGAGCAGGAGGAGGGCAAATCTGGGCAGAGATGGGTGAGGCCTGCTGGGCCCTTTGGGAGGGGCCCATTCCTCCTCACCAACGCATCAACTTCAGGTTCCAGATGTGGCGAAGTTTCAGGATCCCTAGAGAAGGAGAGGAAAGGTGTCGTGCCCCAGCTTACCTTGTTTCCAGGAAACACCTTTCTCCGTCACCCCATTTCAGGGATCGAAGAACAAGGGCAGCAGCACTACCATTTCCCTGTGGCCCAGAGTGGTGTTTTCCAGATCCTTGGGCTGGACCCCCAGGTTCTCACTGGCTCCTCACTCACTTCCATTCCCCTTATCTCATTAGTAAACCATATCTGGTCTGCCTGTCTCCGCAACAGATTTTGGTGCTATCTATTTTTCTATACCTCCCTCTCTGGTTTCACTGTCACCAGCCTGGTTCAGGCTACTGTAATACTGTAAGCAGGGGTGTCCAACCTGTGGCCCGCGGGCTGCACACAGCTCAGGACGGCTGTAAACATGGCCAAACACAAAATCGTAAATTTACTTAAAACAGAAATGTTTTTGTGATTACATGTTGCAATGTATTTAATATGGGGCCCAAGACAACCCTTCTTTTTCCAGTGTGGCCCAGAGATGCCAAAAGGTTGGACACCCCTACTAAAATCTAACGCCTCCTTCCTGGCCCCCTGGGATCTGCCTGTGGCACCCACGGACCATTCCCTACCCAGCAGTCAGGGTGAGCTCTGAAAGGCTCTGATTTGACATGCTGGTTCCGCATGTAGTCTAACCTCCTGTGTTCAGCAGTGACACCTCTGGATAACCCCCTACCCAGCCCCATCCGGATTATTGGAGCAAAACAACATTCCTGGGAAGTCAGTAGAGCAGGAACTTCTAGGTGGGAAGCTGAGCTCCCAAATAAGGTTGATTGAAGGGCACAGACCTAGCATGGGGCAAACCTGGAAACGGGATACAGGTCTCCCAGCCCCTCGCCCAGAATTTCCTTGACAGGTCCTCAGATTTGTTCCCAAGACTCCAAGACTCTGTGGTACCTTCAATAATTTAGAGAAGGAAGGCTTCCACAGGCCTGCTGCAACAGAGAAAACTGTCAGACCTTGCCCTGGGGCCAGTTCCTCACTTCCTCATTCACTCCAAATTTCTGAGGCTCTCTCCAAATCACCTTCCCTGGGAGGATGCTGAAGAGTCACAAATCAAACTTTCACCATTAGGGCAGGACACCCCAGAAACAGTAGTGACAGAGCTATGTGAAGAGCCCAGTGAGAAGTGAGTTTCCTCTGCTTTTGTTTAGCCATTTCCGGGGTTCTCTCCCTGCCTCCCTGTGCCCAGCACACTGGTAGGTATACCCCAGAGATGAGGATCATCCATGCAGGACTGGTGATTGGAGACAGTGATGAGAGGGGTGGCTGGGCCTCGGTTCTCGATGAGCTCATACAGCACCTCCTTGTTGTGGACGGTAAGGTGGTTCATGTACTCTGGGGGGAGAGAAAGAGTGTGGGGGTCTTGGCCTCCTTCTCCTCTGGAGCCCAGGACTTCCCCCAGCCAAGCCCACTCACTGGTCCAGAAGCAGCTGTAGGTGCCCACCAGGCCCATGACGATGCTGCTGGCCAGGGTCCAGGTGAACCGCGGCACGGCGGGGAATGGCCATTTAACATGTAGGGGCATCTCCTCCCTACCGCCCCCCGCGGCCTGGCCGTTCCCCAGCCACGGGGCAGCCTGCGGGGCCGCTCTAGGTCTGTATTCTCAATCGCTCCAGAGCCCTGTCCCTAACAGGCCCGCACCAAAGACGTGCGCCAAGACACGCGGCGCGACAGGGGACTCGACCAAGGTCACCTTGCGGGGCAGGCCAGAGCCTGGCCCGGCCCCGCTCTCTCGCCACAGACGAGCCGCCACTGTGATCGGGAGCCGGGAGTCGCAATGAAGAACAAGAGGAACTGACGCCAGCAGCCGCGCGCCTCAAGCAGCCACCCGCGGAAAAGCGAGCCTGCAAAGGCCACACGTTCCTCCGTCGCCTGTCGCAAAACGCGCGCGGGCCGCTTAACGGCAGCGGAGGCAGTCCTAACCCTAACCACGCCCGCCCCAGCGCAGTCTCAGTTCGAGGCCGCCCGACAGCTGCGCGTCCCTTTTTTCTCAGTCCATCCCCAGAAAAATCTCCGTAGGTAATGTGAGTTGCACAGATGGATTACCTGACACCACTCAAAGTCGGGGCTGGAGAAGCACTTTTACTTTAGTTTTCCCCCCATTGTTTAGGTAAAATTTATATAACAGAATTAACCATTTCATAGTATTTTATAGCATTTAAATTACATATTTTATGTAGATAATATATACGTCATGTTATAGATTATGTAACTTTACATCATTACAATGTTATAAAATTGTACTATATGTCTATGTGTATATGATGTAATATGTGATGTAATATATAGCAATATGTACCTAGTGTGTATTACAATATTTTATATCATGTAATACATTTGTAATGTTGTCAACTACCGCCTGCCTCTAACTAGGTACAAAACATGTCCATCATCTCCAAAAGAAAGCCCTGTGCCCCTCAAAAAGACCATTTTTTATATTAAATCATAATTTTATTGACTTAAACTTTTTTCCGACCAGCTCAGTGGCTACGGCGACATTGGCCTGATGACCGCTCTGCAACCATTCAGTAAGGACTCGCCTCCCATCCTCAGATCTCGCGGAGTCCCCCAGATGTCCCAACAGCAAGAGTGCAAGACACCACAGCGTGCTGAGCTGTCAGCTCTCTAATACCCATCTCTCAGGGACAGTTCCTCAGTGTAACCTTGACATCCAGCACCGCGGCCAGTTCCTGCGCCAACCGTCGCTCACTTTGGGTCTCCAGAGAGCTCAGGAGTGTGCAGCCCCACTGGGGCCCGGCCCAAAAACTTGGAGAGAAAGCTCTTGTCTTCAAGGGTGCCCAGGCCCTCCGCGGGGCTCCCCTAAGCAGAGCATGAGCTTCAGCTTTTGCGTCTTCCCTCGCCAGATGCTGCCTGGAGGGAGTCCCAGAGCGGGGACTGAGTGCCCGGTCTGGGAGAATCCAGCCCCGGGTTTGCACTCAAGCGCCCACTCCTCCTCACCGCACACCCTTGGCACAAGCAACTACTCATTAATGGGCTGCTGCGCCTCGATCTCTCTCTGTGACTCACAGGTCTGTCATCTGCCTGTAGCCCCGGGCCTCCGCCCCTGCGGGTCCCATGCCGGCGGGGGGCGGGGGCGGGAGAGGGAGGCGGGGTCTGACGGAAAACTGGGTGGGTAGGAATCAGTTGTCTGCCCTATCATCAAGCGCTGGGGCGGAGCCAGGACTCGTCCTGCTGGTGGGGAAGTGAAGGTTGGCTGGCCAGGCCCGGACGGGTGGGGCAGTAAGTCAGCCTGTTCCTCTTTTCTCCTCTCTGGACCCCGCCCTGCAGGTGTTGTGATTCCGTGGGGAGTCTCGATCCACTTACAGCTGAGGCAGGTGTGCAGACAAGCTGGTCTGTGCAGGTATGGAATCCCTCTGGGCAGAGGGAGGGTGGAAGTTGTCTCCCACTCCGGAGGTGGGGGCGGTAGTAAGAGAGAAAGGGAACCCCGGGGCTGGGGCCAAAGTCTGGTGTTGGAAGCCCAGACTGGGCTTTGGTTCTTCTTGTCCTCCACCCTCCTGGGGGGCCCCTGGCTCTAGAACCTCCAAGCCTGTCCTTGACAGTCCAGGGCTGCCCAAACACCCACATACATCCCAGAATAGGCACCAGGGCAGGCGACCCAAACTAACATGAGTGACAGAGCAGGTGAAGAGGGAGAGACAGGCATGGAACTGGCCAGGAATGGGAAGATGTGCAGGGAAGCTGTGACAGATAAACAGAGAAGACAGGCCAAGAAAGACAGAGGCAGAGCCTGAGAGAGGAGGAAAGTGAGCCCCAGGGAGAAGGTGACAAAGTGAGAGAGAAGAGCAGGCAGGCAGAAGTCAAAGCACTTAATGATATCAGTAAATGAGAGCCACACGAACAGGGTGTATCAAGGAGTTGAGCCCAAAAGAGCAAAGTCAGGGTGAGTCTGAGGAAAAAAATAAACCACAAGAGACTCTCAGGAAGAGTGGGGGGGGTCTCCCTAGCTGATAAGATGAACAAGAAGGGCTCACCAATGGTGGTGCAGCATGGCAAAGGGGCCCATCACACACTGCAGTGGGGTGGGGTGATTTGATGTATTTGAGATCATTTTAAATGCATATGCCTTAAACCCAGCAATTGCACTGCAGATAGCTTGTCTTAAAGATAACATCTCACAAGCGAAGAGAGAGATTTGTGAAGATGACCCTCCTAGTTACTAATGGCGGTGAAAAGCTGGGATCAACCCTGAGGTTGAATCTTTGTGCACTGCTGGAGGGAATGTAAGTTGGTGCAGCTGCTACAGGAAATAGTATGTGGTTCTTCAATAAATTAATCATAGAATTACTACATGGCTCAGCAATTCCACTTCTGGGAATACACCAAACAGAATTGAAAGGAGGAACTCAAAGAGATATTTGTACAATCATGTTCATAAGCAGCATTACTCACAGTAGCCAAAAGGTAGAGGAAACCCAGGTGTCTATTCACAGATGAATGGATGGACAAAATGTGGTTATCCATACAGTGGAATATTATTCAGCCCTAAAAAGGAAGGCAACTTTGAACCAATGACACCCCAATAAATTCAATTTTTTTCAAAAAAGGAAGGAAGGAAATTTTGACACACTACATGGATGAACCTTAAGGACATTATGCTAAGTGAAATAAGACAGTCACAAGAGGACAACTAGTGTATTATTTCATTCCATGAGGTCCCTGGAGTAGGCAAACTCATACAGACAGAAAGTAGGGTGGTTGGTGCCAGGGGCTATGGAGGGATGTGGGGGGATTAGTGTTTAATGCGGACAGAGTTTCAGTTTGGGAAGATGAAACAGTTCTGCAGGTGGATGGTGGTGATGGTTGCACAGCAATGTGAATGTGCTTAGCGACACCAAACTGTACACTTAAAAACAGTTAAGATGTTAAATTCTATGCTATGTGTGTTTTACCACAATTAAAGGAATGAGGCCAAGCCATATGTGCCAGTGTCAGGAGATGTCCACAGAGAGAAAAGGCAGGAAATCTGCGATGCTGGCAGCTATGAGAGCACTGGTGCTGGGCAGCAGAATGAGCATCACTTCCTCCTCTGTCCATAACACCATGTCCTTCTCAAACCAGAGCCGAGCCCAGGTGGGACTGCATCCCGAGGCAACTTGGATTCCTCCAGAGGGTCCCAGTAGTGTGAACACAGCCATGCGCTGCCCGGCCATGCTCCTGCTCCTCGTTGGTGGGGTCGGGGCCTTTCGAATCTGTGCCTTCAACGCCCAGCGGCTGACACTTGCCAAGGTGGCCAGGGAGCAGGTGATGGACACCTTAGTTCGGGTAAGTTTCGTCATTGCAGGGAAGCTGCACTCCCGAAGACCACAAAACAAAGCCCCCAGCCCTGCCTGACCCAGAGCATGTCCCAGAAAAGAAGGGACATAGGTACAGAGACATTGGGCAAGGGCCTTCTTTGACGTTGGCCTGAGTCTCTTCCCCCGTAAACTGGGTGTAGTGTGGGCAAGGACGGCACTCTTTTTTCTCCCAGGTCTTTTCTAGTCCCATTGCTCTCTGGGGGCCACAGCCATCAGGCCATGACACTCTCACCCACATCAGTGGCCAGTGCCAGTTCCTTAGGGACCTCACCCCCTTCCTAGGGCACTGGTGCTGAGCGGGGCTGACCTTCCTGCTGTCCTGCAGATCGTGGCCCGCTGTGACATTATGGTGCTGCAGGAGGTGGTTGACCCTTCTCCCAGTGTCATCTCCCTCCTGATTCGAGAGCTCAATCGGTGAGCCAGGCTCTGTGGGTCTAATCCGGGGTCCCCTTGAGCCTCAGGGCCCCTGACGCTGGGCTCCCTTTTCTGGCAGATACGATGGCTCTGGGCCCTACAGCTTCCTGAGCAGCCCCTCTCTGGGGCGCAGCACATACACGGAGAAGTACGTGTACATCTACCGGTAAGCACAGATGGAGGCCAGAGCACACATGGTGACGGGCCCACTGACAGCTGAGTATTCATAAGGGCTGCAGGCCCCTTCCTCCTGGGGCAGCCCTCACCTTCTCATTACACTGTTTTTTCTCAACCATTTTATTCTGGGATCTGCCTCTCTTCTTCCCTTGCCAGCTTTGGTGTTCATGTGTTCCTACAGCAGGTTGGGTCCTTCTGTCTCTCTTCTGTGGAAGTGAGGCTCAGGGCATGTCTGGGCCTGTTTGGGAGCGGCTGGCTGCAGCTTCTGGGAAAGAGGATCATCCAGGGCCCCTCATGGGCCTTGGGTGGATATGGTTTCCAGAAACAGCCCTAAGATCCTGGGAAGACATCCTGGGGGCAGGGAGCCCTTTGGGGTCATGTTCATGAGGACAAGGGGGACTCTCCAGGAAGGAAACCTCTTTTCTCTTTTTTTGAAAAGATTTTATTTATTTACTTTTACAGCAAGGGGAAGGGAAGGAGAAAGAGGGGGAGAGAAACATCAATGTGTGGTTGCTTCTCTCGCAGCACCCATGGGGGACTGGGCCCACAACCCAGGCATGTGCCCTGACTGGGAACTGAACCCATGACACTTTGGTTCACAGGCCCGCGCCCAATCCACTGAGCCACACCAGCCAGGGCAAGACCTATTTCTTTATATAGGTGGAATTATATAATGTCTAGAATTCACTCCAAAATAATGGGGAACAATGTCCACACAGGAATGCTCATAGCAGCATCACTCATGACTCCTTAAACTAGAAGTGACCCAAGTGTCCATCAGCTGATGCATGGATAAATAAAAGGCGGTCTCTCCAGCCAATGGAATATTACTCAGGCATAAGAGGGAGTTAAATACTGACCCATGCTGCAGCATTGGTGAATCTTGGAAACCTACACTAAGGAAAGAAGCCACATACAGAAGAACAAATACTACTATCGATTACATTCACATGAAACATCCAGAGTAGGTGAATCTAGAGACAGAAAATAGA